GCGAAGTGCAACCCAAATGGACCATGCCGGGTTGGGTCAAGTACATCTCAAATATAGTTATGGACTTAGACACCTTATCCAATAGTTGTATGGGCGGAGGTGTAGGACTCCGGTTTGTTAGGGGGAAGTTGGCCATCGACTCATCGAAAGCACCGAAGTGGTGCTTAGGACCACTGAATTGATTCAGCAGGTGTGTGATAGACTGCAGATTGCGCAGAGACGTCAAAAAGGCTATGCTGACCGGCGCTGATCGAATCTCGAGTTTCAGGTGGGAGATTTTATGTTGCTGAATGTGTCACCTTGGAAAGGTATCATCCGGTTTCAAAAGAAGGGCAAGTTGGGGCCCCGATTCATTGTTCCATTCAGGATTTATGCCCGAGTTGGCAGGGTTGCTTATCGTTTGGATCTTCCGGATGAGCTAAGTCAGATCCATAACACCTTCCACGTGTCTCGGCTTCCGAAGTGTGTTGCAGATGAGGTCGCAGTTATTTCTTTGGATGATATCCAGGTGGATAGGAGCCTGAATTATGTGGAGAAGCCCATTGCAGTCTTGGATAGAAAAACTAAGGTTCTTCGTAACAATGTGGTGAAGCTAGTGAAGGTGCAATGGCAGCACCGGAAGGGCTTCGAATGTACTTGGGAGTCAGAGGACGAGATGCGAAAGCATTACCCAGATCTATTTGTGACAGCGGACTTCGAGGACAAAGTCTTGTTCAAGTGGGGAGAGTTGTAACACTCTAATCCAGGTATTACATTTTAGCCCTTGAAGTATTTCATTTTTGGCAAAAAGGGTCCCTCTGTACGTTGGGCGTACATATGGGTACACTTAGCGTACGCATGTAGGTGCAACGGGTGGCTGAGGCTTGTACGCTGGGCGTACGAGCATGTACGTGGTGCGTACGTGGCAGATGTATAAAACCCTAATTTCTTGACTTGGACACTATTTAAGCAACCTTATATCATTTGGACCAAACCCTAATCAGCCTCCATATCCTCATTTTGTCCTTAAACCCTATATTTGCAAGATAGTGTGAGATTTGAGCTTAAAGGTGTGTTTGGTGGCCTTTCTAGAGGGTGTTCAAGAAAAAGAAGGTGGTGTTCAAGTCTTGATCAAGGAAGGAGCCTTTAGATCCTGCATCTAGAGCATCTTGGAGAGCTTTTGAAGGTAAAAAGCTTGCATATTGTCTATTCTCCTTGCTTGTTGAGTTAGGGTTTGGTAGAGTCCACTTTTGAGTCCATAAATCATCTCTTGGGAGTTTAGGCAACTCCAGAGGTTAGGAAGGTTAGATTTGAGACTCTTGGACGTGTTTATGGTATAAAAATGCAAAAACTTGATGTCTTCTTTGGCTCCATGCATGAGTTACGACCTTTGGAAAGGTATTAATAAAGTAGATTGAGTTGTTAGGATCATATATAGCATGCAACGGCATAAAGTTGCCAACTTGATGACTTAGGACCATTATATCGACCAAGATCTGGAATTTGAGTGAAGAGCCTGAATGCATTAAGCACTTAGTGGATTTTGTGCATGAACGATTTGTATGCTGGGCGTACTATGTTGTACGCTGCGCGTACAACCCCTTAGCTCGGTACACTAAGTGTATAGAAGAGGTACGTTGGGCGTACGCTCTCAGGAAGTATTGGGCCTTCGGTGGATTTCAAACCTTTGGCCCTAGACTCGCTGGTGTTTTGGGACTGAATTTATCATTTGGGCCATGGTTTGCATGATGGGCCTTTTTGGGCCTTATGGCCCAATATACAATTGGATTTTAATGTTAGGCCCATTAGTGAAGGAAAGGCCTTTAAGCCATTATGAAGGGACTTGGACTTAGGATTTTGGGCCCATGTCTAGGTTATGCCATAATTCTAACTAGGGTTATTTGTATATTGCTCATTGTGAGATTTTGGGCGTGTAGTCGAGCAGCTTTTGTATTCAGCAGACTGAGGTGAGTCTTCTCACTATACTAATGGGTCGAAGGCACCAACGCCTACCCATTACTTGATATGAGATTTCTATAGTTGAATATGCAATGGTTTTGTTATTTGGTATATATTGATTTACGTGAACACCATGGGGGAGCCCGTGGCACTTGGTAAGACCATGAGGGGGAGCCCATGGCCCTTGGGTATAAAACCATGGGGGTAGCCCATGGCATCCCGGTTGAAGACCATGGAGGGAGTCCATGGCAGATTTATGTGTATGTGTGCATGGCATTATGTGGTTATGTGTTTTTTGTATTGTGTGAAACTCACTAAGCGTATGCTTACAGATTTGTTGGGTGTTTTAGGTACTTCTGGTTCTAAGGGCAAGGGCTCGGCTTGATGGCGCAGCGTGCACTCTCCAGTATTTCCGCACTAGTTATTTTGTATACTTTGATCTTTTGAACAATGTGTTTATGTAATGGAATTTTGGAACACAAATATGAATGAGATTTCTAATTGTTTAATGAAAAATTTTATCTGAATTTTTGGGCTGTTACACAGAGAAGACGCATGTGACGGTGGGTTCTATTGTACAAAATCACCACATCAAGCTTCTTTCATTTTAGAGTAAATTACACGAATGGTCCCTATGCTTTAGGGTAATTTGCACGTTTGGTCCCTAACTTATTTTTTTAACTCGGAAGGTCCCTACTGTTTGTTTTTGTTACACTGTTGGTCCTTGTCTTACCTACAAAAACTATTTTATCCTTGATTTTTTAATTTATTTAAATAGACACACACCCAACCTCACCCCACTCACCTTACCTTACCCATCCTACCATTTTTTCCTATTTAAATAATAGTCTTTTTAGGTAAGACATGGACCAAACGCATAACAAAAACAAACAGTAGGGACCAAGCACGTAACAAAAACAAACATTAGGGACTTTTCGACTTAGAAAAATAAGTTAGGGACCAAGCGCGCAAATTAACCCAAACCATAGGGACCATTCGTGTAATTTACTCTTCATTTTAATTTTTGAATATGATAGTTTAGGCAAAAAAACCCATCTCAAATCAGGAACTCAACGAGATACAACATAGCTAGGTTAGAAAAATCAACGACTTCTTTTTCTTGCTTTGACGTGGATTCTTGGAACATTGGCAACTTTTGGAATATGAATTAAAGACGCGTTTTTGAAAAAAAAAATTAGATTTGATGGAGGCTTGTAAGAGATTAGGTTTTGACTTTTTTTCTGGTTGAAATCATTGATTGAAATCAGTTTTTCCTGGTTGAAATTATAGATTGAAATCGTTTTTTTTTTTTTGGATTTCTTTCACGTTTGTTACAAATCTGATTTTGTTTTTTTGGGTTGAAATCAGTTTAAGCATTTGATGCAAGTTTGTTAATATTCAGGTTTTGATGTTTATCCGGTTGAAATCCAGTTTTGGCTCAAGTCTATTTTTTCTCCGGCAATGTGGGTGACAGTATAGTCGGAGAAGACGAAGGTGACATTAGAGGAGATGAGTGGGGCCCATTTAATATTTATAAATATATATAAAAAATAATAATTTATAAACAATTAATATACAGATAAAAAAAAATTGGGCAAGGGCATATTAGTCTTTTTAGAACAGACAGAGACCAAACATGCAACAAAAATAAAAAGTAAGGACAGTCCGAGTTAAAAAAAATTGTTAGGGACCAAGCACGCAAATTACCCTAAACCACAGAGACTATCCATGTAATTTACCCAATTATATGAGAGTGTAAAAAAGTTTATAGCTTTTTTTTGTAAATAAGTATAACAATTAGTAAAAAATTCTATAAAAATTTGTAAAAATGCTGTAAAAGAATGTAAAGAAACACTAAAAATTAAGAAAAAAAAATAAAAAAGATTGTAAACAATTCTAAAAAGTCTTAAAAAGGTTGTAGAAAAATTACTTTGTAAACTAAACTAAATTTGAAACCAATTTGCAATAAAATTTAATATTTAGATCAAATTTGTAACAGAATTTAAAATTTAGATAAAAACACAACCGAAAGAAAGATTGATATGTTCAACCTAAAATAACAGGTAAACATATCGAAAAAATTAATTTATTACTTTTTAAAAGAATAAAATATGTTTGTTTCACTCAAAAACAAACAAAATAATTATTATGAAAAAACAATCATAATCCAAAAGTTAAGTTGTAAAAAACTTTTTCAAAACTTTTTAAACACTTTTCTAAAACATCTAAATAGAAAACGTAAATTTAAATATTTTTCTTAGGTTTCAAAATTTTAAAACATTTTCCTTATATTTTCTCAACCACCATATGTTGTAAAAAATTTTAAAAAGATTTGTAAAAAAGTTTAAATATATTGTAAAAAACATGAAAAATAAGTTTATGAAAAATATGTAAAAAAATTAATTTTTTATAAAAATAATTCTAAAAAATTGTAACTTATAAGAAGATATTAAAAAAAAGTTATAAAAAAATACAAAAAAAATCATAAAAAATAATATTATTTGTTATTTAGATAATAATACTTTAAAAAAACACAATAATTACTTAAACATTAGTATAACTATGTGATAACACGTATACTATACGGATGATTGACATTAATAAGACAACATAGAGATTATTAGAATAACAATCATTAATCATGCAAACAAATATTTATTTTATATAATTTGTACATCTAATCATTTAAAGTATATAACTTGAATATGTTTTCAATAGTTGTTTATTTATAGTATTTTGACAATAGAATGTTGATTTTATAGGATTATATCATGATTTCTTAAACCACATTTATTGTTGATTTATTGGAAGCAAATTTAAAATTAAGAAACTAAATGACAAAGAACATAATATTAATTAAAATGTATATTAGAGTGATACGAAAAATAATTTTTTTTTTTAATTAATATAAAAAAAGATGATTATTTTTTGATTTAGAATGTTTTTTTAATAAAATATGTCTATTTAAGTAATTGAGATGTTGATTTAGTGATTTATCGACACAAGCTTCCAAAGCCCATTAAATTTTGGGCCCTAGCCGAATCACAGAAAAAAAAAGGCAGAAAGCAGGGCACATTTCGTTCCATTTGTTCCACGGAGATCTTGACATCTATGAGTCAAATGATCGATTGAACTATTCTACATCAACAGATGTCACCAATTTTTGCATCTTAGCTCTCATATCTGCATGATCCTGCCTAAACGTAAGTATTTCTAGTCTTTCTACTTCACTTACGATGTATTTACATTCTCGTTCTAGGTTTCTTCCCTCAACTGTTCATCCTTTCTGTGATCGTGGACATCTTATGTAAATGAAATATTGTATGATCACGTATTCAACTCTACACAATATGCATAAAGATTGATTAAACAACAAAAGCTGGATATTGATCGATGTCTTGCAATTTACATATCAAGTCAAAATTGGTGTTGAAATCAAAATTATTACGACTTTGATAACTGGAATCATTACCCTGTCACTGTTAACACGTTTCTAAGGATTGAAATTCATTTTGCCACCAAACAGAATAAGATTGTGTATTGATCAACTTATAGAAGAAAATTGAGCAGTTACGTGTATAATTTGGGTGCAAGGAAAATCCATTTCACCAAAAATTCGTGATCAAGAGAAGTAAAAGCATCAACAAAAAGTGTAATCAGTTCAAATTTTTATTTCGTTTGATACTTGAAAATCTACTTGTATAGTTGTATGTCACTTCTAAATAGTGTAATACTGTAATTTCAACTGTTTTATTTTGGCAACTTATGAACTCCATTATGTTTGACATATGATTAGAATGGCTATGGGGGCAAGCTGGATGCAAAGAAACATTGGTGATTTGGGTTCCAACGCAAAATTAAAGGAACATCATTTTTCATTACTATTTAAGTGTGATGGATTTCATAAGGCATCATTAAGAAGAATCAACTGGCCATTGCAAATAAGTAAGAACAAAATGTCTACATTTTGTTCTTCACTTTGTGATCCAATCACATCGACCTTGCAGAAGAAGAACAATGAACCCTTGAGTATGGCAAGTGAGTGACAACTTATTTGATAAATATTTGATGACATGGATTCTACCATATCTATTCATTGGCATCCCAATGATGATATTTCATTGAATTATTTTCTTGGGTTATAAAAAATGTGTATTATTCTGCAAGATAGATGAATCAACTCTGATCATAATTCGACATGGTGAATCAATGTGGAATGAAAAGAATCTGTTTACTGGATGTGTTGATGTGCCCTTAACAAGAAAAGGAGTAGAAGAAGCAATAGAAGCTGGAAAGAGAATCAGTACAATGCCATTTGACATTGTGTACACGTCAGCATTGGTTCGTTCTCAAATGACAGCAATGCTTGCCCTAACCCAACACTGCTGCCAAAAGGTATTTCTATTTTAACCTTCTGCACTTTCTCAAAATTAGTATGATTCATTGATTTTTTTTTATTATAGCTGATAGCATATCATATTTTCATGTCTTCTTGTTACAAATTTTGAAGGTTCCAATAATTATTCGTAATGAGAATGAAGAGGCCAAAATTTGGAGTCAAATCTACAGTCAAGACACCAAGAATCAGTCGATTCCAGTTGTTAAAGCTTGGCAGTTGAATGAACGAATGTAATCTTGTGTGTTTTTCTTTCTCTCCTTTTCAACAAAGCAAAAACTTAAAAATAATTTTTTGTTTTATGTTTTCTAATATTTTATAATTTTCCCCATTCTTTGTGGTAGGTATGGGGACCTTCAAGGTCTGAACAAGCAAGAAACTGCTGAAATATTTGGTAAAGAGCAAGTTTACAAATGGCGTAGAACATATGAAGTTAGGCCTCCTAATGGTGAAAGCTTGGAAATGTGCTTACAAAGAGCTGTTGCCTTTTTTAAAGACAATGTAAGCTAATTCTTCTTCTTTTTTTTTATTTAATATAGTATGGTTGAACTTTATAAGTTCCATATATGCCCCTTGGTTTTATATAAAAGGGTCCAAGAAATTAAACCCAACTTCATTATGTGCCACCATCTCATAAAATGAATTTAAAGTTCTGTTTATGCTCCATGGCTTTTTACATATAACTTTCTAATCACACCCTTTGTTTTTTAAATTTTAGTTTATACCTTATGCATTGCAATAGGTTAGCTTAATCTGATTAGAAATACATAAAGGACAGATGTATATAATCTTTTAACAAATAACACAGTTAGAAAGATGTCGTCGATATGTTCAAAATGATATCAGTATAGAGATTATTGATGCATTAGTCTTGTTTTTAATCTTATCAAAGAAAATTAAAATGTTCATTTGTAATAAGATAAAACAATGTCGTCAATACTTTTAAAATATAAAGTTAAAATATTTATATGTTGCTGATGTGGAGTTTTATTATTATGTACAGATAGAACCACAACTTATGGCTGGAAAGCATGTGATGGTTGTAGCCCATGCAAATTCCCTGAGGTCCATTATCATGTATCTTGACAATTTAACCCCTCAAGAGGTACCAAATCTTTCATTAGTCCACATGTTTTTCACTATTGTTTTTTTGATCATGTGATTTTTTTTGTTGCTAAAAGGTTATCAACTTAGAACTATCTACTGGGGTACCAATGTTGTACATATATAAAGATGGAAAATTCATCAGGAGGGGAAGTCCTGCAGGACCTAATGAGGCTGGTGTTTATGCTTATACTTCGGTAACAACTTTTATCCTCATCTATCTGAAAATAAAATATATTTATTGACTTCAACTATTATAGTAATTATAATCGGTAAATAAGCAAACAATCCATGATAATAGCTAAAATACTTTGATCGTTTTAATTTAAAAGTCGTGTTTCGTTGCAAAAAGTTGAAACAAAGATTAAAATTTTGTTTTTAACGTAAAAGGGGCGAGATAAAGTGTTAATTCAAGTTCAAATCATAGATTATCCAAAACCTCATACTTGGGCCCATCATCATCATCTCGATCCAATGTCGCCAAATAATCTTTATAAGTTGCAACCATAGTTGTTGATAGCAAATAGTGGTAAATAGCGACAAGCTATCTATATGCTACATAGCGATAGTAATGAAGTAACGACCGCTATTTTGTCTTTGGCGATAGGCATAAAAGATTTAAAATGTATTCATCATGGTCGACTATTATAGCTATTATAAATTTATAATCAATAAGGAAACAAACCATTAAACTAATTACTAACGTTCAACACTTCAGCCTTAATATTTATATTTTGATTGCCCTCAAGCAAACATAGAATCAATTCAGGTCATAATCGTATAATCACTTATCGGAGTCATGCTGTTGTGCTCAGAGGTCCCTACTTTATCGCTCGGCTGTTGAAAAAGAGCATACCACTCCGGAAAAGGAGGGCACCGTGAAGGAAACAGATGCACGAGACTTTATCCCACATTCTAGAAATATCCAGACGAAGAGTTGCCAACCCACTAGGACAGAACCCGTTTACCCTGAATCTCGGCTCTCACCTTTGCCAGCGCACGTTGAATTTCTCTCTCTATTGTGACAAGAATCTGAAGTCAGGCTCTAGACCTGGTGTGGCTCTGGACCTGGTGTGTTGCTGCTGAAATAAATCTACATCTGACGTCTGCTGCTCGGTTGTTGCGCTGCATGGTGCTGAGGATCATCTACAGAAATTACCCATGTCTCACTGACCCCTCTCTCTATCACATGTATCTGCTCCAACACACTTTGGTATCCAAAACCCTCAGTTTTGTATCTCCCTAGTGTCCATGTCTAAGGAAAGCGTCAACTTAGTAACGAAGTACCCTACACATATCCAACTGTCAAAAGCAGTACTGGTCGCTCGCTCATTAAGCTAGAAATACCGTCAATGTATAAGGGAGGTTAAGGCATGGGTAATTCCTTTAGATCCAGGCGTATAAGGCATCATATGTTAGAATAAATCCTCGGGTGTTGGTGCAGATGCATGTGATAGAGAGGGGTCGGTAAGACATGGGTAATTCATTTAGATGATCCTCAGCAACAAGCATTGTTAGAGCTAACACCCGAGCTCCAAAGGTGCAGACCTGCTCCACCAGCAGCAACAACATAGCAGGGCCTAAAGCCAAAGATTAACTTGAGATTCTTGTCACGACAGATTAGAGAAATTCAACGTGTGCATGTAGAGATACAACGGGGCAGGCAGAGATGAGAGCCAATATTCAGGGTATCCGGGTTCAATCCCAGTGGGTTGGCATTGGTAGTTCTTTGTCTAGATATTTCCAGAATGTCGTATATAGTCCTGCGCATCTGTTTCATTCACCATACCATCCTTTTTCAGAGTGGTATGCACCTTTACAACAACCGAACGATGGAGATGCGACCTCTAGGGCACAACAACATGACTCCGATGTGGAGTGATTATGTGTTATCCTTTTTTAAGATAATTTTTGTTTGTTTGTTTAAATTTGGTATCTTAGACAATGTTATTTTTTTGTGTGTTTTAGATATTTTTTTTAACTGAAAAAAACTGATTAGAAATAAATCACTTCGGGTACTTTAGGCTTGGTTATTTTTTATGTGTTTTAGATACTTTATATTCATTACTCTCCGATTCTAAAGTGGTAAAGCCTCTTGGTTTGATACTAACCATAATGATTATAAAGACAATTAACACAATGGTTATGTAATTAATAAATATCTAAGATCAATATTAATCCTTTGATTTTAAAGACTTTTAATTGCCGTTGTTTACCAATGATAATGTAAATCGACTAGTTTTCATGGCCCGATTACTAATCCTAAATTGACTACTTTTCATGGTCCGATTACTAATCCTTTGATTTTAAAGACTTTTAATTGCCGTGATCAAGTATTTGGTTCGTATTAAGAGAGAGATGAACTTTTATTGATATCAATGATAATGGAAATCAACTAACTACACAGGAATGGTCATTACTTGCATACTCACACATTAAAGTTACCAACTTTACTATTTAACCTTAGGTTTTGCTAAACATTAGTTACCCTCGCCGCTGGCAGCTCCATTCCTACCATTTCTTCCGCCACGCTCTCCACAAGCTGATCCTCTATATCAAGTTTCTGTTTGTTGTGCTCCATCGCTTACAAACTTCCAACTAGTGAACCAAGATTTGTCAAACTAGACCGTTTCTACGGTCAAAACTACACTCGTTGGGCTAACAATGTCAAGTTTCAACTTGTTATGCTAAGGCTTGGCTATGTTCTAGATCTTGAATTACCCCCATTCTAGATGATCCGATCCGTAAAGTGGGAAAGGCTCCAAATCAAAAAGCAATTTATGAACCGGAAAAGTTGAGGGCTATGTGCACAGACTTTGAGAACCTATGTTTTGGTCACATCAAGAACTCATTATTTGACCATCTCTATGATCTGTATGCGTATGCGCCAGTCACAAATCCCGAAGAGTTCTAGAAAGCCTTGGAACTCAAATACAAGGCACAAATACATGGCACATGAGAAGGGTACTAACAAGTATCTTGTGGCTAAATATTTGGAGTTTCACATTGTCGACGATAAACCGATTCTGGAGAAGCGAAACGCTCATGTAGGGCAAAATACATGATCATGACTGACCATGTGCCCCACACCAGGTTCCATATCCAAGAGACCAAGCAGCAACACTTCATAGGGTCTTTCCTTTTTAGTATTTGCCATGGAGTCGACCGACAAAGTGGGTCGCTTTACTTTCGATTAAACCTCACTACTATTAGTAGGCAATTCATATTCATCTTTTTCTTCTACATCGACGACATTGTCAGAGTGAGGTATACTATTCATCGCTTCTCTTGCACGTTTCTTCTTAAAGTTTTCTTTTGAAAAAATTATTTACATTACTTGGTTCCTTTGTACATCTTGCATTATCCGCGGAATCACAAGCAGTAATGTTAAGAGTTGGTATGGATGTTTCTTGATGTCATATAGATGGAGGGACCCAAAAGGAAGGGTGTACTTAGGGGTGCAAACGAGCCAAGCTACTCGTGAGCTACTCGAGATCGGTTCGTTAAAAGCTTGACTCGAAACCGATTTTAAACGAGCCCGAGCCGAACTCGAATTTAATATTTTAAGCTCGTTTATTAAACGAGCTCGAGCTCGAGCTCGAGCCTATGTCACTAAGCTCGATTAGGCTCGCGAGCCTAAACGAGCTTTTATATAATATAATTTATTATTATTTTTATATATTAAAATAAAAATATATTTTGGGAATTAGGAATTTATGGTATTAATAAACGAGCTTCTGAATGAGCTCGAGCCGAGCTTAAGCTTATTTAGACACGTCGAACAAAAAACGAGTCGAGCCCGAGCCGAGCTTGTATAATTATTTACGAGCTCGAGCCGAGCTCAGTACAATAAAGCTCGAATCGAGCCGAGCTCGAGCTCGAGCCTCGTATAATTTAAACGAGCCCAAGCCGAGCCTGACCAGGCTCGGGCTCGGCTCGTTTGCACCCCTAGGTGTACTTCCCGTAGATATTCCAGCTATTCTAGCTATTCATTACAGGTGATCGACTGATGCAAACTTACACGACTCACAATTTAGGAATGAAAAATGACTAAACTGAGGATATAATTTCTTCAAATTTTGATGGTTGACCCAAACAACATTGTAATTCAAACGGAGATAAGGACATCATTCGTACTAGAGATTTTGGTACTCGGTTCAAATCTGTAAAGTCCACCAAATTCCCTTCCTCTACCAATTATTTGCTTTGTTGAAAGATCTTGAAAAAAAAAAAAGACAATAATCATGGAAAATGTTACATTACATATCAATCCACGAGTAGTTTAGTTGGTGGCGAGAACTCGCTTAATGGAAAATAGCTAATTAAACGATAAATTAGGGAGGCTTAACACAGAAGATAATGAAATAGATGGGGCTTTGATACCAACTAAACTAGAAAGAATTGAGGGTGAAAATACAATATTGGTTGTGTGTTTTTACAAGGAAAATGTACAAGTTTATATATAGTGGTGAGAACCCTAATCATAGAAAACCTTATAGGTCTGTAGGCTAACTTGGCAAAAGCTAATATGTACAATATTTACATTCTAACAGAACAAAAACAATTCACTTTATATCTATGTTATGAGTAAAATAACCATTTCAGATATTGTCTATACATTGCTAAACTTTCTGGTACAAGCGTAAGAAATTTGCGAGATAAACACTAAACAACTTCTAGCTTCGATCATGTTCAAAGCATTGCACGTTTTCTGTGATTATTACTGGATTTATCAAAAGCTAAGGCACTTAAAAGTAATCTTACTTGTTACACATACATATCAAATTATATGAACATAACAAAATTATATGAATATAATTTTGTTTGAAATGCATGATTAGAGGTGTATTATTTTAATCGACATATGTCTACATACATATCAAATCGAGTAGGGAGTACATATATGGTATCTTATGTTAAAAAACGTATAAACCCTCAATAATCAAATAATAAAAGTGAAATTAAAGATAATTGAGAAAAATACCTTAGCACAGATAGTTAAAACATGACACTAGTTAATCGAATAATATACATTTTCTATTTTACAAGTACAATGATGTAATAAAAAAGAAATCAAAAAAGATTAAAGTCATAATGTTTACTTTTTAAATTTATAACTGATCTATAGTTTAATAACATGAAATGATTGAATCCACTTGTCATTTTGTTTTTTTAACTCGGGCTTTTGCTCTTTAAATTTATATTTTGCCATGATATTACTATGATTTAAGCTTTAATGATAACTTATGTTATTTATTCTTTTAACAGAATTTGGCTGTTTATAAGGAGAAATATGATGAGATGCTGCAAGTAACCCCTAAAAGAAGGTAGTTTTTCATTTATAATTATTTAAGATTTTATAAACACTATCATGGAGTAGGCGTAAATGTTACATGTGCTCCAAAATCACGTCTATTCGGTCCTTCTATGTTATGTATTGGAACAATATAAATATGATATTGTACTATAAAATATTATTTATCACAAAATAAATACTTATTTTGCAAAAATAGACTGAACTTTTGTTCGGAATAGTGTTCATAATCAGAATTTCAGGACACTTACTATTGTTATTTTGGTGATTTCAACACCAATTATGTTGACCGTGACACTCATTTTTTTTTTTTTTTAATTCCATTAGGTGTAAACAATTAATTTAACTTAGTTTTTTTAGTTTTTGATTGGAAGATAAAACCAGTGGAATAATTACAAAAAGTTATATTGGTAATTTTTTGAACGATTGCAACAAAAGCATCAAAGGAAAGACTATATTGTGAATTAAAATGTATTTGTTTAGAAAATCTGTATAGGCAATCCCTGTTAGAAAATGTGAAATGGTTCGCTCTTAATGTACATGGGTTCATTACATTTTGCAAATTAAATTTAGAGGTGGACAGTGGACACTGGTCAAAACTGGTTTTGGATTTGGGGCTTCGATTGGGGCCCGTTACCAGTTAAAATATATTTTGTATTTCTTTCGGTGAGTCAAAAAGACCCGATTATAACATTTGGGAATTGGGATTAGTCGAAAGCCCATTTATATTGGACCCGAAACCTACTACAGTTAGTTCACTTTATAAATTTTCAAAAAAATCGGAAAGTAAATAAATCCGAGAACACAAAATGCCACAGAACAATACGGAGGGAGACTATTCGAAATAATCACTTTCTTACAACCATCATAGAACAATCACACATTTCCCAAAAGGTTTTGTAAAGTACTTTGCAAATTTACTTAATTAATGTTCTTTACTATAAAAACCTTCCGTAATCATATATTGAACAACACATTTACAAAATAAAAGATATTTTACCTTTTTTTTTTTTTTTTACTAATTCTCCTTATTCATTAATTTACAAGATTATTGTTTGGCTTCATCAATTTATTTTTCGTATTTGGGCGTATTTTGTACAAGGTACTATATAGAAAAGTCCCTATTAGTCTTTATCCCAACTACAAAACCTTTTATATGTCACTTAATTTTACAAAATAATATGTGTATTTCGCACGTCCTTTGTGAAATATCCTAATTGATGCAGTTGATTGATGTTTGACGTCAATAATTCATTTTCCTAACCAACGTAGAATTCTGTAGAAGGCTTCATTTTCCTAAATAACATAAAATTTTGTAAAAAGCATTTCAAAACCTAAAGTTATTCTTATTACAAAAATAGGCAATCTAGCAACTCCCCTTTAACTTTCTCTTTCAAGAAACATCCATCTATATCAATCACTTTATATCCTTTCAACCATCTTTTTTAAATCAATCACTTTATATCATTTCAACCACCCTTTTTTTAAAGCCTTAAAACACAAATGTTAATTCTTTTGAAATATTTTGCATCGGGATTGAAGTCAACTCGAAATTCAACATTGCTTCTATTGATCTCAAAACTTCATTACCATAATCCCATATCCGAGTATAGTGATCAGTCAATCTGCCATCAATTAGTGTAAATGTTGTCATTGCCCTTTCACATTGACATTTACTCAGCTTTAAATAATTTTCTATAAAAAATCAGCTTTCATTTCTTTGACTTTTGTTTTGGGTTTGCAAATTAGATAATTGAGATAATGGTTAGCAATCCAACTCAGAGTTATCAATGACCCGAGGTTGTATTTTTGTGCATAAATCTGACATTCTGAAATTTAGGTCATAGACTGCGAACAACTAAATTACAATATATCTCTTTGTAATTTAACTCATTGAGTTTTAATGCATCTAATGTAAAATAAATGAGTTTATTTCAAATACTGTAAGATACTGGATGATATCTTACTTCCAAATGTGTACATTGTCACACTAATCAAACAGCTCAAACTGCAACACTAGTTAATGCGTCTGAAAAACTGAAAATCTGTATTAAACAGTTGTGAGCAAAGAAAACATTAAAACCTTATAGTATATATGTTCCCCTGTTGACGAAAATATAAAGAACGTTCAAAACGGAGTTCGTATGCAAAAGATACGATCGTTTTAAGAAAACAAACAGTAAAACACTTATTTTCTTTAATCGCGTAAAACCGAATCGACCCATTGAGACACTTACACACATCCGATGGAAATTCCAAGATCGCTTTTGGACTCAGGCTATGGCCTAATATTTAATTTCATACTCAAAATATTTTAATCAAAAATATTTGCAAAAGTCGAAAAATCGAGCTTTACGGACCATTTAGACGCGAAACTTTAAACGCGATTTCCCGGAAAACCGTAACTCGAAAAATTAATCTGTTCAGGTTTTTGGAATCCTTGAACCCGACTCTATCTAACTGCACTTTTGGAAAAATTTCGTGACGTTGGGATCGCAATACACCAAAATAAGATGGTTTTAGGTCATCTAAGAGGGCATGACACCTTTGTGGGACCCACCAAGACCATGTGGCTCAAAAATATGATTTTTCTCTTGGCGAACTTCCCTCCTATGTTTTTTTTCTTTCCTCTCACTGTTCCTAGTTTGTGTGCACTCTTAACCAAAAGTACAAGGTAAGGAGGTGAGGTATGGCCCTAAGAGTGTGTGTGATTCTTTGGGCTATAAAAGAGAAGCTCTTGCATCCTCATTCATCATATCAATTGTCCAACTTCTTCCCTCAATCTTTCCTTCTATATCTCTCTCTATCTCTCTTGGATTGAATCACCACCACAACACCACCATTAATCCACCATAAAACCACCACCTTATAACTCCCCCGATGTAAATCACCACCTCAGCCTTCTCCACTCTCCCCACTCCTTCCCTCATCGAGTTCTGCCCTAGAAAAAAAGAAGGGAAAAATGGCAGCCACCTTCCTACCACTACACCACCATTCATTTCCACCACCAAGAAACCCACCTCCGGTAAAGCCACAACCCTGTTGTTGCCTTAGAAGTCCACCCTCCACCACCTCCTTCCCCCCCCCCCCCACTCATTGATCGACATTAGAAAGAGGAAGACGGAGGCAGCAAGAGGCTGCCGGAAGCCTCTCGTCACCAGGGGCGGAGCTTAAACAATTTATTAGGGGGGGGGGGGGAGAGTTTTATAAATTAAAATTAACGCTCTTAAACAAAAAAAAAACAAATTTTTTTCATCATCAACATTTCTTTGAAAAAATAACCAAAGGTTTTCATCTTTTCTATGATTGTATCTATGAAAACCAAAATTAGGGAACAATTAATTCAATAAAAATGAAAAATTAGACAAAAAGAAACAATACTCATCACTCATCAACTTATTCTATACAATCATTAACAAAAATCTGCAATAACTCATTTAACAGTATCTAAAAAGTGAAAACTGAAATCAAAAAGTGAAAACTAAAAACTAAAATTGATTTTCATAATGAACTAAAATCTGTAACAACTAACAAACTAACAATCAACAATGCATTTAACAGATTGTGAAAAGTGAAAGTGAAATTGAAATTAGTTTATTCCTAACTCACCCTACAACTCACAACAAGAAGCAAAGAACATGAGCATTCCTAATTGGCTAATTCCTAACTCAGTTACTCAGGAACAATTCAATAAATACAAAATTAGAAATCAAAGAAGAGATGAAACCGAGATAACTGGATAACAAGAGAAGAACTGAAGAAAGAACAGGAGCATTCCATACCTGATTTCCGATTTCCGGTGACCATCGGGTGGACTGTCGTCTGCAGACAGTTGCTGCGGTGGTAAATGGTGAGACCAGGTGTCCAGGTAAGATGCAGGCGTGCAACAACAGCGATGAGCGAGGTAGCGAGTGGCGACAATGGGGGCAGAAGGTTTAGATACGATGGATTTTGACTTCTATCTTGACTTTGTGGTTCAAAAATCGAACTATTGGAGAAATCAAGAGGTCCACAATCGGATTATTGGAGAAATCCAATGTTTTAAAACCGGGTCGACCCGGCCGGTTCAACCGGTTGGACCGTGACCCGGGGTAGAAGGCGGGTCAATTGTGAACGGTTTTTTGTAAAAATGCAGACCGGATCGAACCGTCCGGGTTTCCCCTAAACCGCGGTTCGACCGCTTATGTTGAACCGGTTCAAACCGGATTGACCCGTTTTAATAGGGTTTGGATAGTTGGATACAAGTAGCGAACGTCAAAACAACCAGCCGTTTGTTGTTTCTTCAATGTTTCTCAATGTTTAAACTTTGTGGACATCAAATTATTGGTTTATATATTTATGCATTATGCAGGAAAGTAAAAATATATAAAAATAGAAAAATACCATAAACCGAGTTGACCCGGCGGTTCAACCGGTTGAACCGGTTGACCCGTGAACCGGTCATCACACCGGGTCAACTAAAAACTCGGGTTTTAAAACATTGGAGAAATCAGGAGGGGCCACAAGCCCACAACCCAATTGTGACAATAGCAGGCTTAGATTTAAAAATTTTGTAGTTATACGAGCTATCTCTAACCAAAATTTCAGGGGGGGGGGGCCACAGCCCCTCCTGGCCCTATACAAGATGCGCCCCTGCTCGTCACCCCCACTGCCACCTTCTGCCGCCAAGGGAATCACCGGCCATCACCAACCTCTACTCCTGCTACTGCACAGTGAGTAAACCACCACCCCATATATCATATTCCATAGTTGTTTTTCATTTTTCGTCAATCGCAGAAAGCCCCGCCGGAGACCCGTTTTTTTTAACTCGATGTGCATGAAAACGAAACAGGAGGAGGGCCTCCTCCTGTTCAAACTTAGTTTCCATATAAATTCAATTTACCCCATTTCAAACATTATTACAAAACTAGTCCTAAGCCTCCAAGTTTCAATTAAAATGCTCACATTTTTCCCCTCCTTTCGAAAATCCCTATAAACAAGTCCCAATTGTCCCAAACTTTGGATTAAATTTTACAGTTCCTACCCTAATTCGAAAATCTATTTATAAAACTAGTCCCAAGCCCTCAAACTTCAATTAAATTATTCAAATCCTACCCCTATATAGAAAACCCTTTTCAAAATAAATCCTAAATTAAAATATAAAAATTAAATAATTTATTTGGTCTCATTTTTAGAAATTAATAATTTATTTTAATTTAATTAAATTAATAAACGGGTCCTATGATTTAGTTAAATTACCAAACAACTCTTCACATATTAATATATGTTAAAATTTCCTAGGAAACTAAATTAATCTCGGAGTTTCGTCTTCACGGCAACGCTTCTGGGTTTCTTGTATCCAATACTCGAAACAACCCGACAACCACACTTTAAGGTGAGTGTTACGACCCCTCTATTATATTCTTACATGTTTTGGGGGAGAATAAATGTACAATCTGATATAAATTCATAATACACATAAAATATTATTGATGACATGCCCCTCAAAGCGGGCCAGAAATAAGGAAACCTTCGACGAGGAGTCCCCTGCAGAGCCCAGCCAGGTCCGACTCGACCACTCCAACCGCTAGGCACCCCCAACTGCCAGGCGCCCTAGCAGGACGACCGCGCAGAAGGATCGCCCTCGCCAAAGGTCGTCCTCCACTACAGTCCAAAGATAATGGCTCCAAGCGACAAGGAGCACATCCAGAGCATTATCGCCTGGACCAATCGATGGGCCTGACACAACGAGGAACACGACTCACCAATAACGGCGACGGATCTTGTCGGGATCGCAGTCCCTGTCCCTCGTACGGATCGAAAAAGATCTTCAGTATAAAAGGACCATCGCCCTGCCTTGATAGGTAAGCTATCTCTCCCGATTCTCAACCCTTACTCTCAAATACTCTACTAACTTGACCGTCGGAGCATTTTTCCGGGACCTCCTCCCGAAGAGCGGCTGACGGTTTTCTTTCCTTGTGACCTCTCAGGTTTCTCCCAGACGATCACTGCTAACACCTCGTAGGTGGTCGGAAGTCAGGTCGCATCATTTGGCGCCGTCCATTTGTGTGACAACAGATAGAGAAACCCCCTTTTTCTTCATTTCTCACCTTTAGCCCAACCACAAATGGCGGACGAGGCCAACGGCGAACCATCGGAAACGCCGCATAGGCCGATACACCCAATAGTCTCCTAAGAGACGGCCAATACCCCGATAACACCACCACCTCAGATGACTAGCATGGTTTCTGAGGTACCATTATCCGGTGGCCCACCACCTTCTCTTGCAACAACTATGCCTTCCGTCACAACCCACATACCGACACCCACACTGAACAACGTAACCCCGCCGCTGTTCCCCAACGACGGCAGACCTAATCCGCCCATTTCACCTTCCATACCGCTGTTTTTTCCCAACGTCGGCGGATTAAACAACGCCGGTTACAGTTTCTTACCAAACCCATACACATCCCAAACGAGCAACGACAAACAATACCCATAACACCACCGTCAATCGGGATGCCTTTGCTAATGGCACCGACGAATAACGCCGCTAACGGCCCAAGCATCATTTTCCAAGCGCAGAACCACCCACCGCTAGTGACAGGAGCCATGACGGAACCTCCATTCACGTCCTACTAGAAAACCCCGTGGCCCACACACTTTCCACCCTGTTCCAGCCACAGAACTTCTACGGCCTAACACCACCAGACCTCACAGCCTACAATACCATTTTGCCCAACGGACACCAAACCAAGACTGCCTTTCACGCAACGTCACATCGTCATTCGTAAAGGAGTTACTGGAATACGAGATCCCCAACACCGTTAAACTACCTCACCTCAAAACATACGATGGCACCACAGACCCGGACAACCACATCGAAACATACAAATGGACGACGACGTCCCTCAAGCTAGACGAACGCTTTTGGTACACATATTTCCCCACCACTCTAGATGGCAACGCAGGGACATGGTTCAAAACGCTACGCCCTAGTAGCATCTACAACTTCAGCCAGCTGAAATACCTCTTTGTAACCAACTTCATGCAACTCCGGAAGTACAAAGGAGATTATCACTTCATCATCGGTTGCAAGCAAAGGGAGGGGGAGATAGTCAAGGACTACTGCACCAGGTTCACCAAGGCAACACTAGACGTCCCAGGGCATGATGAAGGATTGATTGCAGGGGCATTTACCTGGGGATTACTCCCAGGTTCCTTGTCCCTGAAACTTATGAGCAAACAGCCCCAGACGAGAGCAGAACTAAAAGAGCGAGTGAAGCGTTTCCTGCGCCAAGAAGAAGGTGAAGCATCAAAGCAAGCATATGTAAGGTCCTGGAAAGGATCTTTACCAATGATCAAGCAACAAACAATCACAATAGAAGAATAAGAAGAAAAGAAATCGAGCTTGCACATGTTTATATTCATAAAAACGTCAGGTACAACTCGATGGAACACTCTGTAAACTCTATGGCATCAACAACCACACAAAGACCAACACCTCCACTATATATACTAGACAGGACCGCAAACTGGGTTTACGGCCGTAAACACACTTTCTGACCGTAAACACATAAACAACCCACAAAATGTATTAACGACTCATACTGAACTAA